CATTCAAGGAGTCCAACAACCCCAAACAGAATAGACCCCATAAGAAAACCACCAAGACATAACCAAGACATATCATCATCAAACTTAACCAAAACCAAAGACAAAGAAACAATCCTGAAAACATCACAGGAAAAACGAAAAGTTACCTACAACTAATAAGGCTAAGCTCTGATTTTTCAGCAGAAACCATATAGGCAAGAAGGCAATGGGATGGTATATATAAAACCCTGAAAGAAAAAAAATAAAATTCTAAACAAGAATTATATACCCAGTAAAATTGTCCCTCAAATATGATGGTGAAATTAGGATATTTCCAGATAAGCAGAAATTAAGGGAATTGGTTAAAACCAGACCAATCTTACAAGAGATACTAGAGGAACTCCTTTGGACATGAACCAACAACAGCAAACAACAACCGACCATTAACACACATGATGATATAACCCAGAAACCAACCCAGTTATGGAAGCATCCAAAGTAGGTAAGCTTACAAGATTGTAAATAGAGGACTAGAGATATCAATTGGCAAATGAGGATGACTACAAACCAAAAAGAGGGAAAAAAAAATGTAGTTACAAAACTTGTAAATGGTGAGGAAGTTAGGATAATAGCAAGAAAAAATGGATTGTTCTAAATTTGTGAAGAAAATTATAAATCAGAGGGTAACCTCAAAGAAAAATGATAAACCTTCACATCAAAATAAAAAAGAGGACAACCACAAATATTTAGCAAATACTAAAACAATAGTAACAAAGAAAGTGATAACATGATTCATAAATGAGATGAGCTTAGCACAGAAAATTATATGGAGCAAGGAAATCAACAAAACCACAAAAAAATACACAACAAAATGATAGCTACAAATTCACAGCTCTGATAGCATAGTGCCTATGGCACTTGACTGCTAATCAAAAGGCTGGTGGTTCAAACCCACCAACCACTCCTCGGAAGGAAGATGTGGCAATCTACTTCCATAGTAATACTGCCTAGGGAACCCAAGGAGTGGTAGCTATGAGTTGAGTCCGACTCGATGGCACATAACAACAACAACAACAATAATTATGCTGAGTGTCAATGGATTAAATGCACCACTCAAGAGATGGAGAGTTGCAGACTGGATAAGAAAACATAACTCATCATTATGCAATCTACAAGAGACACATCTTAGAGACAAAGACAAAAATAGACTAAAAATCAAAGGTTGGAAAAAGATGTTTCAAGCAAACAGCAACCATAAAAAAGCAGGAGTCACAATATTAATTTAAGAGATTTGGAAGACTTTACTTGCATGTGATAGTAATGATATTGTTTGAGAATTTCCATATTCTGTAGGATCACCTTTCTTTTGAATGGGTACAAATATGGATCTTTTCCAGTCAGTTGGCCAGATAGCTGTCTTCCAAATCTCTTGGCATAACTGGGTGAGTGCTTCCAGCACATTGTCAATTTGTTGAAACATCTCAATAGGTATTCCATCAATCCCTGGAGCCTTGTCCTTTGCCAATTCCTTCAATGCAGCTTCAACTTCTTCCTTCAATATTACTGGTTCTTGATCATATGCCAGCTCCTGAAATGGATGAACATTGACCAATTCTTTTGGTACAGTGACTGTGTATTCTCTCCATCTTCTTTTGATGTTTCCTGCATCATTCAATATTTTGCCCATAGAATCTTTCTATATTGTAACTCGAGGCTTGAATGTTTTCTTCACTTCTTTCACCTTGAGAAATGCTGAGTGTCTTCTTCCTTTTTGGTTTTCTAACTCCCTGTCTTTGCACATTTCATTATAATAATTGACTTTGTCATCCCGAGCTGCTCTTTGAAATCTTCTGTTTAGCTCTTTTATCTTGTCATTTCTTCTATTTGCTTTAGCTACTCTCCATTCAGAAGCAAGTTTCAGAGTCTCTTCTGACATCCATTTTGGTCTTTTCTTCCTTTCTTGTATTTTTAATGACCATTTGCTTTCTTCCTGGATGATGTTCTTGATGTCATACAACAATTCTTCTGGTTTTTGGTCATTGGTATTCAATGCATCAAATCTATTCTTTAGATGGTCTTTAAATTCAGGAGGGATATAATCCAAGTCATATTTTGGCTCTCAGAGACTTGTTTTAATTGTCTTCAGCTTCAAATTGAACTTGCATACAAGCAGTTGATGGTCTGTTCCACAATCAACTCCTGACGTAGTTTTGGCTGAAGATATTGAGCTTCTCCATCACTCTTTCCACAGATATAGTCATTCTGATTCCTGTGTACTCCATCTGGGAAGGTCTGTGTATAGCTGCCATTTGTGTTGTTGAAAATGGTATTTGAAATAAATAACTTGTTGATCTTCCAAAATTCTATCATTTTATCTCCAACATTACTTCTATCACCAATGCCATATTTTCTAACTACTGGTGATTCTTTTTTGTTTCCAACTTTTGCATTCCAATTAACACATAATCAACACATCTTGATTGCATGTTTGGCCAATTTCAGACTGCAGAAGTTGGTAAAAATCTTCAGTTTCCTCGTGTTTGACTTTGGTGTTTGGTGCATAAACTTGAATAATAGTAGTATTAACTGGTTTTCCTTGTAGGCATATGGATATTATCCTATCACTGACAGTAATGTACTTCAGGATAGATCTTGATACATTTTTTGCAATGATGAATGCCATGCATTCCTCTTCAATTTTCATTCTCAGCATGATAGATCATGTGATGTCTGATTCAAAATGTCCAACACCAGTCCATTTCAACTCACTAATCCATAGAATATCAATGTTTATGTGTTCCATGTCAGTTTTGACAACTTCTAGTTTTCCTAGATTCATACTTCATACATTCCATGTTCTGATTATTAATGGATGTTTGCAGCTGTTTCTTCTCATCTTGAGTCATGCCACATCAGCAAATGAAAGTCCCAAAAGCTTTACTCCATCCATGTCATTAAAGTTGGCTCTAGTCTGAGGAGGAAGCTCTTCCCCAGTTGTATTTTAAGTGCCTTCCAACCTAAGGGCCTCATCTTCTGGCACCATATCGGACAATGTTTCAGGGCTATTCATAAAGTTTTCCATTAATACATCAGACAGTATTTCACTGCTATTCATAAGGTTTTCAGTGGCCAATTCTTGAAAGAGTGGATGACCTTGTCCTTCTTCTGAGTATGTCTTAGTCTGGAAGCTCCAATGAAACTTGTCCACGATGGGTAACCCTGCTAGTATTTGAAATACCAGTGGCATAGCCTCCAGTCTTACAGCAATTTGCAAGCCATCACAGAACAACAAACTGAGAGACAAGTTAATCTCCTCTAGCTGTTCCAAACAGCTCTGCCCAATTTCTGGCCTCCCTCAGCCCTCCCAAACCCAGGCTGCTTCTCTTCCTGGTTCCCTTCTTTGGCTGCTCTGAACCCACTCTGCACTGCCTCTCTCTCTTCCTGGTTCCAGGGGCAAATTTACAGGGCCTAATTTCTAGCATAAATAGACTATCAAGTATAACCTAAAAATGCACAAACAACAGAAGATATACTGGATGAATGGGACCTTCGAAAAATTAAATATTTATGTGCTTCACAGACTTCTCCAAAAGGATAAAAAGAGCTCTTAAAGATTGGGAGAAAAAATATTCTGCAGTGACATATCTCACAAGGGACTTATTTCTAAAATTTATAGAAAACTCTCGCACCTCAACAACAACAACAAAAATCCAATTAAAACTTGGGCAGAAAAAATGAATAGACACTTCACCAAAAAGGACATTCAGGTGGCCAACAAACATATGAAGAAATGTTCATGATCAGTAGAGAGATGCAAATCAAAACAAGGAGATACCATCTTGCCTTAGCACTAATAGCAAAGTTCAATAAGAAAGAAAATAACAAATGCTGGTGAGCATGTAGAGAGATTGGGATTTTCAAACACTGATGGTGGAAATGTCAAGTGATACAACAAGTATGGAAAGCAATATGGCAATTCCTTAAAAAGTTGGATTTAGAAATATCATTTGATCCAGCAACACCATTACTAGGTATATATCCTAAGGAAGTGAAAGCCAGAACAAGAACAGATATATGCACACCCCTGTTCATAGCAGCATTATTTACAATAAATAGCAAAATGATGGTAACAACCAAGGTGCTCATCAACAGAAGAATGGATAACCAAACAATAGTACATGCAGACAATGGAATACTACACAACCCTAAAGAATAAAGTAGAACCTGTAAAACATTGCATAATGTGGATGAATTTGGAGGACATTGTGCTGAGTGAAATAATTACAGAAGGACATATTGTATTACTTTATTATTGTAAAGAGTCATGGAAAGGTTTATATATGGAATGAAACTGTCTTTTGGTTACCAGAGGTACAAAGGGAGGGGAGGGAACACTGCAAAAATTAAAAATGGAAAAAAAATGTTGAAAAGCAAAGATGTCTCTCTGAAGACTAAGGTGTGCCTACCCCCAGCCATGGTGTTTTCAATTGCTTTGCACACATGTGAAAGTTGGACAATGAATAAGGAAGATTGAAGAAGACTTAATGTTTCTGAATTGTGGTGTTGGCAAAGAATACTGAAAATACCATGAACTGCCACAAGAACTATCAAATCTGTCCTGGAGAAGTGCAGCTGAAATGCTCCTTGAAAAAGAGAATGACCAGACTTCATTTCACCTACTTTGGTCATGTTGTCAGAGGGGACCATTCCCTAAAGAAGGATATCATGCTTGGTAAAGTGGAGGGTCAGTAAAAAAGGGGAAGACCATTAATAAGATGGATTAACACAGTGGCCGGAAGAATGGGCTCAAGTATAGTAAGGATTGTGAGGATAGTGCATGACCCAGCAATGTCTTATTCTGTTGTGCATAGGGTCACTATGAATCAGAGCCTACTCAATGGAACCTAACAACAACAACATCAACATACTCAAGATATGTGTCCTACACATTTATGAAGAATTTGAGACTCAGGAATTATAAATAATAAGGAAATTTAATGGAAGAGAGGACAGACACTCACAACACACTTGCACACATGGCACACTTGTTTCCATGCATTTTGCCATCTGGACCACGGACAGGATCATTCTCCCTGGTACATATGAGCATTCCATTTCTCACTTGGTCCCGAAATTCACTGCAGACATCCTGGAAAATAAAGAAAATATTTGCTCAGGATAGGTTTCTATTTTTCCGACATCATTCTCTCTTATAGTGTGAGAAATTAGTTAGGGGGAGTCAAAATAAATAACAAAAATGATTACATGTAACAGTTGTTTTGTTGTTTTTTAAGAATGTGAGAACAAGGTGGGAATGGGAACAAGTATTACCCCTGGAGAAATTGACTTCATTTTGGGTGTGTGTTGATGAAATACAGGGATGAGAGATAACCATGAGAATAACAATGGGGTGGAGTACAACAAACAACTTGGCAACTGACCAGATATGACAAATGAAACAAAGTTTCATTTCTAAATTACCAATGAAAAAAAAAAAAGGCATCAACCAATAAAAACAATCATTGAGAAAGTGAGTCAGTTTAAAGGCAAATTTTTAGCTGTATCAATTTTCCCCAAATAATGATAGGGTCATACTACTTACAGCTGTTGTTGGGAAATAAAATGAATAGATAAATCTTGTAAATTTTCACAGAAAGCACAATAAAATTTTAAAAAGATAAAATTTGTATATAGCAATTTCGTGAGCATAATCTAGCATTTACACAGAGACAAAATTTGCTAACCAACCTGTAAAACTATAAATTATAAATAAAAAAATTGAAAAGTCAGAATACTTTCTTAACTATGTTAATTAGGGGTGAGAAAACTAGTGCTTTCTCCATAGTTGGGTCATCACAAAGATCAACTATAATAACATAAATGAATATTTTCTAAAAAATTGGGCTAAAGTGAATGATAGAAGTCTTGTACTCCATTTAAAATAATAGAGGTATGAATGCCATAAAGTGAAATTAGAAAATTTAACAAATTAATATTAATAGTATGTGAGTGAAAACAGAAATCTAAGGAAAACTAAATATGGGAAGTATAAAGGGTCAAAACATGATTTTTTACTAAATTAAAATAAAAATTTGAATAATCATGAAATAAAGTTACTATTTTGGACACTTCTAATCAAGATCATTTTTTACAGATTAAAAGTTTTCTTTATTTATTTCAGGCAGGAAAACACCTATAATAATGAGACATCAAGAATGTCTTTGTAGAGAAAACTGTATCAGGACATAGTATGAGCATCTCTGGGAAAATTACCTTTGCAACTTCTCTTTTAGCCTTTGCTCTTGCTCTTGCTCTTTCTTGTTGTTGACTATAGGGTGGGGTGGGAAGAGAAAAAGAAATGGATTTCAATGGAGTAATCTTAACACTCTCAGGATGACCATTCTCAAGAAACCTGAAAGATCCACCATAGTTGCTTGAAATTTCATTGGAACACCCACCTCAAGAGAGTGGTATGCAAAAGTATATCTTTAATCAGTACACCTATTTAACTTTCCAGCATCTGTATGGCAATGACTTTTCTTACTTGCTGATCTTTAACATCTTCAATAACTCTTTATTAAAGAGAAAAAAAAAAAAAAAGGAACAAAACCAAACTCACTACCATCAAAATTCTGACTCATAGTGACCTTCTTTGGGTTTCAGAGGCAATAAATCTTTGTAGAAGCAGATTGCCCATTCTACTAGGTTTGAACCAACAACCTTCTGGTTAGCAGTCAAATCCCTTAGGCACCATGTCACCAGAGGGAGGCAGTCCAACATGGTGGTTAAGAATAAAGACTCTGGAGTTGGAATACAGAAGGAACACAGACAAGTGCCTTAATCTCTCTATGCCTTAGTTTCTTCATTTAAAATAGTGGATGAGGAAAGGAGAAGTAATGAGTACCTTTCTCATAGCGTTAAATGAATTGATATATGTAAAACAATTAGAGCAGTACCTAGTACACAATAAAGTGACACAATTTATGCAACATCCATGATATAAGTGATTCTTACCATGTTATTATCATTGAAAGTGAGCCCTCCAAAATTAGATATATGATAGTGTGGCAGGATGAGGCAGGATGGATCCAGCCATCTCAACAAAATTTGTTGTTGTTGTTGTTGTTGTTTGCCGTCGAGTCGGCCCCGAGAGTGAAAATCCCTTTGTCCATACTCCCCCTTCCTTCCTCCCATGACCAGCCATCTTTGATATCCTTCTTATCTTGCAATCCAGCCAACCCATACCCCCTTCCATCTCTTTGTTTCTTCCCTGCGTGAGCTTTTTTTGCTTCTGTAACACTGCTGGCTTGTGTCCTTGAAAATAACCAACCATCCTTTCATCCCAAAGACCCCAGAAGAAGAGCCCCATAAAAGCTCCATGTGGCCTTTGTTCTGGGCTCAGTCTCCCACTGAGCCCAGGTACCAGTACAATAAAGTCTTTCTTTTGTATCATCCTGCTAGGTGTTAGTTTCTTTCCTCGGCTGGCTTGGTAGCAACAGAAATGCACTGAGGGTGACAGCTCTCACTAACAGTCTTGCAAATAGAATTTAGTGGACTGGGTCTAGAGCATACTGGATTATAAAACACACACACAAAAAAATTAACCGTATTGCATGCAAATGCATTAAATAATTTGTAAAATATGTTTACCATGTTCTAATCCACTTGCTAATCAATCAAATTAAAACATTAAAAAAAAGGTAGAAAGATATTCTCATGCTTTCTTCTTGTTGATTATAAGGAGCAGAGAGAAGAGTATAGAGAACAAAGAGTAGGAAGAAAGACTGTAATAGAGTACATCCTTAGAGTTCATAGGTTGAACATTCATTGATCTGACTATTCTTAAGTAACTCCATGTGAAAGTGTGCAAGAAACAGCTCTGGAGGAAAGATTAATTCTCAAGTCAATATTCTTTGCTAACCTCTCCATAAAAGATAAGGCAACAAAACTATTTCTTTTGATAAAGAATTTTTATATTGATAGGAAGAACTGACTGAAATAGCTCCAAAATATGTGGATTTTTTAAATTTGAAAACTGATTTAAACTTTATGCACAAGTCTAAGTTGACTGAAAAATCTAAGTATTTTCTTTCCATATTGTGTAATTAGATGAGATGGAGCAGAGCTGACCACTAGGTGGCAGAATTACTTTCTGTGACTGAAAGACTGATGTAAAAGTAAAGAAAAACAGACTAAAACAAGTCTTAAAAACAAGCAGAAAGTTCGTAAAGGCCTTGATAAATTATTATGTCCTCTCTACACCTACTACATTAAGAAATTTATCATTCTCTTCACCCAGATATTTATATCTTGTGCTGACATTTCCATCATTCTCATTTCTGGGCCTTAGTTTTTCATCTGTAACTTGGGATAATGTACAGCCTACTTCATATGGTTGTTGTGAACATTGAAAGAAATATGAGTAAAGCTCTTAACAAGTACTGGATGATTAAATGCATTTAATTAATATTTTTTCTTATAATGGTTATATTGTCATCATCTTGACTTCTATCATATAGATTGTTAGTGTTTCCATGGCTCAAATTTTATGAGAAATTTATTGTATTATATTGCTCTCTGTGAGGGATGCGTGAATAACTGAAACCTTTCATGTATTCTGGGCATATAGAAAATAAACTTGGATGCTTCTTGGATCAAAGATCAAAAGAGATCAGAAAAATCATAAATTCTTATTTGAGG